ATTATCAAATCACCTATAAATAATACATCTGTTCATGTATCTATATATCTATCTACAAATATGTAATGTCCATTGTTAGTTACTCTATTTCTATAGTACAGTATAACAATGTTTGCTATAACAAAAATTCAGTTGATTAGTTGGAAGATCATCTTCCTCATTCAGTTCTTGAAAATAGATTAAAAATGAGCACCACAATGCTACAAAGTTGTTCTCCTTTATTTCTTCTCTCATCATGTGAAAATGGTGGACATTTTCCCCCTGCAAGTGCAATTTGGATCAACTTCAGACCAGCAGAGTCAGTATGGTAGTGAGGGATGTAGGCCAACAACACTTGGAACGTCACACACTCTCAATAGTTTATTAGTCCATCCAAATACTGACACAGTTGGCATTCTGGTTTGTTCCACAGACACCAAACAAATAAACAAGACAAAAGGTTTGTTTTGTTTTGTTTTCGTCTGCTTTATGGTGGTGGGAATGGTGAGGAAGCATGCTACTGCAGCGGATGTTCAGTTAACATGATAACCCATTCCATGGTTAGTTTAGCAGGCCCTGCTTCAAATGGAAGCAATAGAGCAGCAAGCATGTATGAGCACATTGCTTTTACACAATACTGGTCACATCTAAAATGAAGGAATTCTGAGCCTCAGAATTTGTTTTCATTATAACAGAACTTAACAAAGCTGTCACTTCTTTCATACAAAATTCACTCCTGGTTGTTCCCAGTCCCACAGCTTTGTTTATTTCAGTAGTATAATTGTAGGGTGGGAGCACGGGTGCATTTTGTTTTTGGGATTGCTGAATAATTGAGAACCAAAAATCTTTGTTGATTTACTGAAAATCACTCAGAGCTCTACCAACAGAGCCAAGTCAGGCTCCTGTCCAACCCTGAGCTATGTCTATTGTGACTGTATTGTGTGCGCATGCACAGTGTGACTGAATTCATGCTGTACTTTGTTCCATAGTATTAGTTCAAGAAAGAAATCATATTACTTTATTCCTCTAGTGATTAATCTGGGGTCTTGCTCAGGCAGGAGTCTTTTCCACTGTCACAAGGGAAGGCAACTAGTTGAGTCAAGTAGCCAGCTTAGGGAAGGTAACCACAAACAAGCATTGCTGTCACTGTGGTTACATCTCAAAAAGAGAGGGAGACTGAGAGGGGTTTGGTATGCCACTGAGATCAGATGAGATGAGATAGCTACCAGATGATGAGGAACTGCATTGGTCCATTCCAGAGCTGTTTCTCCTGAGCCTTCAGTCTTTGAAGACAGAGCTGTGAGCATCACATAGTTTGTTCTGTGCCTTCTAAACATGCCTGCTGGGCTCAGGGGAGCAGAGGAAGACTTGTGGGCAAGTGAGCTATCCTGTTGCCTATATCATTGGCCAATCCAGTTAGCTTTTGTATATGAAATAGAAGCAGGGCAAAATGACAGCATTGCCCCCAAATAAGAATTCACCCCCCCCCAGATTTTCATTCTATCCCCAAATTTCTAGCATTCTACAGAGTGAGATATTTAAAATTGTTCACACCTAGTACTCACATTTATTGTGTTTACATTCCTTTTTTGAACTCTGCCTCTCCCTTTTCTTTGGTTAACTAAACTGTATTTCTAAATGCTTACCTGCAGTTTTAAGTTATCACAATTCTAGAAATTTAGACACTGATGGAAAATTTCATTTAAGGAGGGGGAAGAGCTCTTATTTTGGCATTGGCACCCTCATCCCCCCCAATAGCTACTGTGAAAATGGGTTGTTCCATTATCTAGGCAAGACAGCAAAAGGGTATAGATTCCCTCCAAGTGAACAAAAGGTTAATCATGTGATGGGCTAGATCACATTTATTGGGGTGGGTGGGTCAGCATCACATAGGAGCAACAACAATTGCTCATCCAATGAGGATGACCACTTTGGAAGATGTGTGGAAGCTTGAGATACTTCTAAGATGAGAGATTATAAAAACATGAAGACACTTTGAAGCTGATGGAAAGACAGAGGTGCTGTCTGCCTCACCATCCCTGTGGAAGCTTGGTTGACTCCTACCTTCCAAAAAACATCCAAAGACTGAGAACACCATCTGTATCATGAATAGAGTAGAAATGTTCAGGTAGATGCATCAGTGCTTGTGTTTCTAACCATGGCTGATTATGACTTGACTTTGTAACTACTACTATGACTTTGTAACTACTCCTCAGTAAAAAGAAGGCTGAGATCCATTTTACACGATACTCTTTTGCTAATGTAAGATTGCTTGCTCTGCTTTACAGAGACCTGGCTGGGGGAGGATAGCACCGCTATATGGGC